GCCGATGATCCCCGACTGCAAGGTGCCGACCAGCCGATCGGTCGGCGGGTCGGCGGCCGACCAGTCAAGGGCCGCCGACCATCGGGGTGTGCAACCCTGGATATCGCCCTTTTCAAACTCCGCACCCGATTTGGCTGCCCACACATGTTCTTTTTGCCTTTTCGAAACTGAAAGTGTGACACTGCTGGACTCCTTTCTTTCTTTCTTTTTGTTTTTTTTTGGTTTGTGGTCATTGCCATCAGATTGCTGCAATGACAAATATCTTCTGATTGCGCGTTCTGCCTTTCCCGTTCTTGATCTTTTTATGTTATTAACGTTCTGATGCGAACAACCTAATATACTTGTTTTGCTCCTCACCGCCATCCCTCCCTTTTCTTTTTTCTGCTTCTTCTTCTTCTTTGTTATTGTGCCGCAACTCTCTCACTTCAGGTTGCTTGTGTTATCATTATCTCATAAAGTGTTCGCGGTTCGGAGTTCTCTTGCAGGGAATAGAAGGCGAGCTTCTCAACGGAACTCTGCGTGTTCATATTTACGGAGCAAAAGACCTCCTGACCGTCACAGACAATGGGACAGCAGTCATGGGGGTACAGTACAGATTTTGCAACACAACATCCAATGCTTCAAATCCTGAAAAGAAATGGAAATGGAATTATGAAAGGACATTTGCCACATTTGCCTGCCAACTGGCGTAGCTCAGTTGGTGGTACACCCTGACCTACATGAGCGCGAAATTCAACTGGAAGCAGACGAGTAAAATAGTAAAAAATAGTAAAAATAGTAAAATACTACAGTTATTCTGAATTACCGAGGGCCAGTAAGTGCGAGGACCATATCTTGAGGCTGTCGCCCTTTTTTTTGTATACAAATTAACAAGAAAAAGAAAGGACATTTACTTTTTTTTATATATAATTAAATTAACAGCCCCAGGGGCAGCTTGAGGTGCTGGTAGGAGCAGACGCATCAAGCTGTTCTTGGGGAGGCTCCATCTATTGGTGGGGAGCGGCACCTGATGGGAAGCGGGCCCCGCGGGCCCAGCGCGCCCTTATACAAAAAATGCAGATATCTGAACAAAGATACAAAGATACACCTTGGCCCTCGTGGGGGGTTCATCTCCACAGCCTACAGAGTACAGATTGCAGACAGCCCGGCTGATGCGGTCTTACCGATCGTGCCTTGTGTCCCATGGTATGAGGCACAGTGCAGCTCATGGCTGCATTCCACACTGCGCTGTGTTGTCGTCCAAGCTCTTCTAAACTCAAAACCCTAGTCTCTTGAATCTTTACGCCCCCTTAAACTCTTGAACCCTTGTACCCTTAAGTTCTTGATCGTAGTATCCCTTTGTACTCATAACGGCTTCATGGGCCCTGAAGCCCTACACTCCCCCCATCCCTCTCCGCCCTAAAACTCATGGCTCCCGTGGGTCTTCATAGGTCCCATTGTGGGGCCAGCAGTGGTACGCAGCGTCAGGTCCACAGATGTTGTTCCAGTCTCGGTGTGCCTGCTGCCTTCTGTCACACCAATCCTGCAGCCGTTTGTCCTGCTCCTGTGTCTGGCGCTCTCGACTCCGGGGGGTAGACAGGGATGGGGGAGGGGAAAAAAGAGAAAAAAAACAAAAAAAAACAAAAAAAGAAAGGAAAGAAAGGACATTTACATAAGGTCTCTTAACTCACCAGTACTTACGAGCGGCTTTTTTGCCCCCGGGCTCCGAACGCCCTGCGCACCAAAGAAAAACGAATCAGCATGGGCCTCGTTTTGGCTGGCGCCGCAAAACAAAGCTCAGTAGGACCATTTTCCTCCACAAAACAGAACAACGTAAACCACCAGTACTTCCTAAAGTCGTCCCCGTAAACAAGCCGCAACTTCAGGAAACGTACGGGCCACTACAGAAGCGCCCAAATTCATCCAACTGGAAATGTTTCTACTCTATTTTTTTTCTGCGGCCGATAGCTGGGCCAAGTGCTGGTGGTTTAACAAGGCCTTTCGTTCTTATTTGCTTCTTCATCCAGCCTTAGCTAACGTATCCGGAAAAACTGTCAGCTTACGAATGTGGTGCTGAGGGCGGCTGTAAGGTCAGTAGAATCGTTTTTTTATAGTTATGGGTGGCCCAACATCTCTTTGAATACGTCTAATATTGAGCCCACCTCATGATTCGGGAAAGACAGACTTGCCCAAGTTTGCTCATCTGTTAGTAGCTTAGGAACTTGTTTTTTCTTTTTTTCTTTTTTCTTTGTTTAATAACTTAATAACTTAGTAGTAAGTTAGTACTACTATGTTGAGAAAAAGGGGCTTTGTCTGTGAGCTAATCCTGACACATCAGATCAGGGCCTGTTCTGCCCATAGGGTCTCAAGCCGTGTCAGGCTTGATTTGTTTGCGGGTACATCGTCACTCATCGGGACAATACGCGGGCCACATGGCAGCATCAACTCAGAAACCCATCCATGTAGCAAGGATCAGACCAGACTATGAAAGGGAGAGGGGGGGGGGGAAGGGGGAAGGATGAAAGGAAAAAAGAAGAAGACAAAAAAAAATATGCGGAGTGTAGGTGTACACCACTATAAATACCCAGGGATCGACAAGACGAATGCCCCTCAACACCAGCGAGCACAGAGATACAGGCATCCAGAACACAGCGGCCGACCTGCCACTGGTAGTGTTGCAGGCACTTCTTCTGATGGGCAGGCGCCGACTATTGGGTGCTGCATGTACACACTGAGGAAGACACTGAGGAGAAAGGCCAGAGCAGGCACATTGCCACACAAAGAACGTGGCTCAAAGACTACGAGGCAATCGTCTACTAAGTAAGATCCGATTAGATTTGTAGTAGATGGGGGGAAAAAAACGGCCCGATTGAACGAAACGAAGTTGTTGGAACATAGAATGGTACCAAGGCAAGGACCACTAATGGACCACCAACGGTACATGGAATGGGACTCCTCCTTCCTGAATATTGTACAAGTGGCTAGGACCACTCATGGAACACGGAATGGGACTCAGGACTGGGACTCAGGATGGGGACTCAGGACTGAGACTTGGGGCTGAACCAGGGGTACTGAGATTCACAAATCGTTTCATTATATAATATATGTCGATAGTACGAGTGCGCGTGTGTGCGTTTGAGGGTCAAGTGTATTCACGTGGGCATGTGGGCGGATGTCCTGTGCTTTGCAGATTATAGATGAGGGCAGGTGCAACAACACAAGGACGAGCTATGCGAGCGTTGAACTGCAGTCTGTTGTTGTCGCGCGGACTCAAGTCGTCAATGACAGCCTCACTCCAACATGGAACCGGTCGTTCGACCTCCTGGTTGGGCATCGGGCAAGGTACCTGTCGATTTTGGTGACGGCCAGCTGCGGCGGCGGGGTTGGTGAGCATGTAGGAATCGTGTGGATTTCTATGGCGTCAGTGCGGCACGAGACAGAGGTTGAGAAGTGGTATCCCTTGTGTTATAATGGACAATTCACGGACGCGGAAGTGCAAGTGCGCCTGAAATTTACGAGCAATGTTCAGCAACGGAACGGAACGGATTGGGTCCCCCTCTCATCGACTTTCCCTTTAAGGAAAGGCAACCGAGTGACCCTGTTCCAAGATGCACATGTGCCCAACACCTTCACCCCGTATGTGGTTTTGGCAAATAACGAGACGTTCGTTCAGCATCGACTTTGGGAAGAAATGTACACGTCGATCGCGAACGCAAAACATTTCATTTATGTCGCTGGATGGGACTTGTTACACACGACAGTTCTGGTAAGAGACGAGAGCAGGATGATTGCTGGGGCGGAAGGTGTGAGCATCGGCGATCTCCTGGTGAGGAAGAGTAAGGAAGGCGTCAAGGTGTTAGTGTTGCTGTGGAACAACAGATTCAACAGCAAGAATAGCGCCGCCGACTCCGCGTGGGTTGAGATTGTGAAGATCGACACGCATTCCCACGAGGCGTGCGGCTACCTCTGCGAATCGGGCGTCCAGTGCGCGTTGTCCGATCGCCGGCAAGATGTGAACATCTTAGATTGGATTAAACTTGTCAACGAGGAGTCCAGATCCCAAGCCATTCTGGACCAGTATGTTGCATGGGCTTTCTCTCATCACCAGAAGCTGGTCCTGGTTGATGCTCCTGTTAATATGGCCTCTGGTTCAGCGAATCTTCGGAGGATTGAAGCATACGTTGGTGGCGTCGATTTGACACATGGACGTTTCGACACGCCAGATCATCCGCTTTTCGGAACGCTCAACTCGTAGCATAGCGAGGACATGTACCAGGCGAATTTACAGGGTGCATCTCTTGCGAAAGGAGGTCCTCGACAACCATGGCATGATGTTCATGCCAAAGTCGAAGGCCCAGCCGCATGGGACATCCTGACGAATTTCGAACAACGGTGGCGCATTCTTAAGTCAAAGGATGTCTGCAATCCATCTTGGTTGCAGAGATTTTTCCACCCAAACGACGCAGTGAAGGAACTGTTTGATTTCAGCGTGCATCCGGAGTTTAACCGATCGGGCGAATTCTTTGCGGTGCCGGAAACGGACCCAGAAGCTTGGGATGTGCAGTTCGTTCGATCGATTGACAACGCGTCTGTTGCAGGCCTGCGGCCAGCTATGCAGCTTGGCATCCCACAGATCGCTGGATATGAGACGAGCGTCTACCATGCGTACGTCGGTGCCATCCGCCAAGCAGAGGCGTTTCTTTACATCGAGAGCCAGTACTTCATCGGAAGCGCTCCTTGGGAGGAGGGCAAAGATGTGCCTGTGCCCCTGGAAATCGCTTTGAAGATAGCAAGAAAGATCCAGGCCGGACAGCAATTTGCAGTTTACGTCCTCATTCCTATGTGGCCAGAGGGCGTGCCAACCTCGGCAATCGTGCAAGAGATGTTACACTGGCAATATGACACCATGAAGACGATGTACAACATTGTCAGCAATGCCGTTCTGGCAAAGGGACTTCAACAGAAGCCCACCGACTACTTGAACTTCTTCACGATCGTCAATCGGGAGACGGAAGTCGATGGCGAATACCAGCCACTTGAATCTATGCGAGACTCCGACGAGCATTACAGGAAGGCGCAGCTCTACAGGCGATTTCCTATCTATGTCCATTCTAAAATGATGATTGTGAGTGCAGACCATCCTGCTTGCATTTCTCAAAACTCCACACCCACCCTTGCCCGCATTTCCGATGCTTTGCACCTGCCCGTGCTTGTTGCATTTCCTCTACCTTTCTTTCTTTCTTTCTTTCTTTCCTTCTTTCCTTAATACCATTCCTCGAGTTACGTGTTTCATCCTTGTGCATGGCCCATGCTTAATCTTCTCTCTATCGTTGCCTGCGCTAACGGATGTCTCGAAGGGTGTCCTCTACCATTTCCCTTCCAAGCGACACTCTTTGCCTTCACCACCCATCTTCTGGCTGTTGAAAGAATACTATCCCCAGCGATTTTGCTTTAACGTTTCAGGGGGAGTGGGGCGGGGAACTAAGGATAACTAAGGACTGTGATCGTGCCTGTTGAAAGAATACCACCCTTATTTATTAATTATTTTGTTTTTTAATTAATTAATTAATTAATTAATTAATTAATTAATTAATTAATTATTATTTTAATATTTAACATGTTATATTCTTTGAATTTTTTTCTTGTATTTTGACAAGGATAACTAAGGACTGTGACCGTGCCTGTTTGTTTTCGTGATTTGGTTTAACTTTAACCTCACAGGCCGACGATGAGTTCATTATCGTTGGATCGGCCAATATCAATAACCGGTCCATGGATGGCCGGCTCGACACGGAGTCGGCAATCAGAGCTTATCAGCCATACCACACAAATGCATTCCGGAGAGCGCAGCCACGCGGCCAAGTCCACGGCTTCCGGATGTCATTGTGAGCTGAGCATACAGGTGCAGTTGAGGACATTTTCCTGAAGCCATCTTCTGTCGAATGTGTGAGAAGATTGCGCGCGATCGCAGAAGCGAATTGGCAGCAATACGTTGCAGAAAACATAACAGATAGTATGCATAGCCACATTGTTCCGTACCCCATCTCCGTGGGACATGATGGAATGCTGAGTTTGCTGCCAGGATTTGAGACATTCCCAGACACAGTGGCACCTGTGCAGGGCAAAGAATCTCGTCAAATCCTCGACATTCTTGTGACGTAAATAGTAATGAAATACCAGAGAGCGCCAAGTGGCGAAATTCCCGTTCACAAACCGATGTCATCGATTTTTTTTGCTGTTCAGGAACCAATGTCCCAATCCGGCTGAGTGTCCCAAGCAACAGCTGCCGCCACTCAACCAAGGTGAATTTCCCCGTTTTGGTCCTGGGACTAACCGCTGGTGGTCCCCACTTGACCAAGGTGGATTTCACCATTTTCATCCCGGGACTAACCGCTGGTGGTGGTGGTCCCCACTTAACCAAGGTGAATCCCGACTGCTGCAACTTTTTGTCATCGCCTTGCTCCTTGTACTGCTGGTGGTCCCCGTTTTGGTCCCGGGACTAACACAGCGATCATGGTCCTTGTGCAGGGTGAGGATGAGTCTCTTCATAATAGTTGATATCCTTTTTTTTTCCTTTTTTTTTTTTTTTTTTTCATATCCTTGACATCCTTGTGACGCAAATATAAAGCGCGCCAAGCCATGAAAATCCTGTTCGCGAACCCCTGTTGCAATCCTGCAGGCCCCGATCAGCATTAACCAAGGTGAATTTCGACCCCTGCGACTCTTCACGGTCTTGCTCCCTGTACTGCTTGTGGTCCCCGTACTGGTCCCGGGACCGACACAGCGATCACAGTCCTGTACAACACGATGGATCTCTTGCCGTCATCGTCGACTCGTGGATTTGATACGATCACGAACAGTCAGAAATTGAACCCTTGGTACCACTACCTCCGCTGCCACTGTGGACCCTTGAGAAGGATTGCAACTCTGTACTGTCACTATTTGTCAAGATGGGGTCAGCTCTGTGATTTTAGCCAGGCACAGCTCTATTGGGGTCTATTGGGGTCAGATTCCGCCGCACTGCTGCTTCCTTGTAGTGAGCACTGAATTGGGGTTAGCTCTATGATTTTAGGCAGCGAAGAGTAGGAACCAATCTCATGACCTGTGAATGACTACTCTCCTTCTCCGCGGATTTGGAAGATCAGTCCTATACGGATGCCATAATTCCTAGGTTGGTATTGCCAGATAGGAAGAATCTCTCAAGCCCCCTCCCCTTGACTGGTGGCTAGGACCGCAAGGGTCTGGCTGATTTCTGTCTCTACAACTCTCTTGCTTGAACTCATGCTTGCCCGTGATAACCAACCGGGCTGACGCACCCCCCCACACACAATTAGATGGGCCTTTCTGTGTTTCAAAAAAAAAAAAAAAACAATATATTTTTTTTTAAGTTTTTTCAGAAAAAAAGGCGACCGCTTTGAGATACCATCATTGAATTGACCGGGCCCAAGCAACTGATCGCGAGCAAATCAACAGCATTATGTCCTCCAGTTAAGGCCCAGCTATCTACTGCGGTAAGAAAAAAAAAGAGTAGATACTAGAAAGTTACTAGAAATGCGAGGATCAGTGTCCTCGGTAGGCCTACGGGGCCCTGT